AGGTTAACAGTCATGGAGAACAAAGAGGTGATGCAAGAGAGATGAAAGAGGAAGAATTAATGGAATCTGGTGACTTATTGCACAAGGTGGGAGAGAAAAGCAAAAGTAAATATATTCTTGATTTACTGGATATGGTGGGGCAAGGAAGAAAAAGCCTATAGTCAAGTATCACAAAATTCTTGCAAATGAATAGAAGATGGACAGATCCACTGAAAGAAAGAGGAGTGCTCTGGGAAGAAGTAACTTAAGCACCAGTGTTGAGTTCATGGTAACTTACTGATGACCTTCCCAGGTCTGAAAAGAGCAAGCTCTACCTTCCTTCAGTTTAACCAGCCTGTCCAGCAGTGCCCAGGCATTATTACCACTGTGCACATGACTTGTGTATGCCACTGTGGAATAGTAAGGTGCTCAAGAGACCAGGCTCTGGAGACAGAACACCCCATCGTCAGTGATGGCTCCACAGCACACTGGCTGTGTGGTCTTGTAATTTCTGTGCCCCAATTTCCTCATTTGTAAGATGAACACTGTAAGTGTTTACTTACATATAAAGGTCAGAGAATTGGGGCACCTGGGTGGCTCAGTCATTAAGCGACTGCCTTCAGCTCAGGTCATGGTCCCAGGGTCCTGGGATCGAGCCCCGCATCGGGCTCCCTGTTCGGCGGGAAGCCTGCTTGTGTTCCCTCTCTTGCTGTGTCTCTCTCTGTCAAATAAATAAATCTTTAAAAAAAATAAAAAGATAAAGGTCAAAGAATTAACTAAAATAATACAGGCAATGTGTTTACCACGATGTTTGGTACATAGTGCTACTATTGAAGAGCTTTCAATAAGTACTTCTCTTATTTTACTATGACTACAACTACTACTACTATTACTACCACTATCTTAAACAAATCAACAGCAAATCATGTCTAATAGGCTAAGAACTTAAGCAAGTAGAATGCAGTCCAAAATGTTGGCATGTTTCAAACATGGCACTGCCTGGAATTCATGACATGTCATGATTTAAGTAATTGTACTCTGAAAGATGAGAGAATTCCTGAAATGCAGCCCTGGGTCCCAAGGCATTCTGGGAATCCCCACAAATCCTCCATTATTATCCTATCCCCAGGTACTCTCTTCATTGAGATAGGCTCCAGTTGCAGACTAGTCTTGTAGCTCAGTGGTTTCACTCATTCACTGATATCCCAGGAAAGGGATTTCTCTTATTTACTGGGATATACAATTTGGTGTGTATATAAATAGCTTTTCCTCATTCCTCAACCATCTCCCTAGTCTATTATGAATTATGACAGGCATCTCTAAAAAGGAACAATCATTCTAAAGAGAATGAGGAGGTGTTTCACAAGAGTAAAGGAAAGAGCACTGGATTAAAGTTCAGACTCTACTGTTGATTTAGTGTGCATGTCTTAAGATCTCTGGCATTGTTTCCTCCCTTACAAAATAGGAATTATATCCACTTGGTCAACTTCACAACACTGGCATGCAGGTCAAGTGAAAAAATAAAACATAGAAGCACTGTATAAGTGCCAAATACTTTATGAGATATTCATGATATCACTATATTGGCCTTCATTTTTCTCAAAGGATAAAAGAGACCTACAAGGTTTTCCAAATTCAACGAATATCACTTTTAGCATATAATTTTCTTCATCCTCACTTCTCAGAGTCATTCTGAGGATTAAACAAGATCATGTTTTATTTATTTATTTATTTGGTTTTTTTAATTAGAGAGAGTGCACAGGGTGGGGAGGGGCAGAAGAAGAGAGAGAATCTTAAGCAGGCTCCACACTGAGCTCAGAGAATCATACGCAGGCTCCACACAGGGCTCAGTCTCACAACACTGAGATCACGATCTGAGCCAAAATCAAGAGTTGGACACTTATCCAAGCCACCCAGGCGGCCCTAAACAAGATCATGTCTTAAATGGAAATAATAAATTCAGCCTGAGGTAATAACAATAATATTCATTGAATCCATACTACGTGCCAGGCATTATGCTTAGAACTTTATGTGCATAATTTTATTCAGTTTCTTAAAACAGCACTCAAATGAAAAAGATATGGTTGTCCCTGTTATGCTCATGAGAAAATTAAGATTCAAAGAACTTAATTAACACACAAATCCTCACAGTCAATGTCAAAGCTGAGATTTGAACTTAGGTCTGTACCTCTCAGCTGTATGGCCAGGGCACACTCTTTACTAGCTGTATGACTCATTCTCTACTGAATACCAGCTTCATGGGGTTAATAATGCCATCATGAACTTACAGGGATGTCCTCAAAAAGGCTCATAACAATCTATCTGTGAATGCTAAGGATCTTTAAGATTTTGTGTAAACAACTATTTAAGCATTCTTTAAAAATCATTATTTCAATCCCTACCTTCTATAATACCAATTGTTTTTGCATCATCTTCATCTAGCAATTAAGATAAACACTCTGCCTTACCACATATATTAAAATATCCATATACACAATGTTGAGAATCATATAGAATATCCAAATATACATCTTTGGAGGGAATATATCTTAATGACACCAAAAGAGTTGCGTTGATCTTGAAATACACTTGGCATTCAAAGACAGAAAAAAAATAAAGGAAAAGTTACACAAGATAAAGGAAAGAGCACAGATTCAGACCAATCTGGGCTTAAAATCCCAGCTCCACCACTTATGAATTTATTACCTGACAAAGTTGATCACTTGTTAGAGTTTCTGTTTCTTTATCCCTAAAATGAGAACACTAGCACATAGCTTGCCAGGCTGTCATAAAGCTTAATTTTAATAGTACAGAATGTGTAAAGTTTCTAGAATAGTGCTAGGTAACTCTTCTCTTCTATGCCAGTAAGAGATAGCAATATGACAGTGCTCACGAAGGAGGCCATGAGGAAACAGTTTCACAGTTGCACTAAAACTAAACAACCTATCGTATATTATTTAAGAACACCTGTGGCCAGTCACACCTACAAAGAAAATGAAAGACCAGAAGAGTATTTCCCCAAAGAATTCACTGGAACATATAACTGTGACACAGCCCAAGACTCATTAGCACAAGGGGAAGACATGGACCAGACTTGTAAAACAAAATGTGTACTGGGGAGTAGAAATGAAAGACTACTCTCTTCCTTACCCTCAATTTACCCCAGCAGATTGGGATCTTGTCATTCAAAGACACAGATTAGGAGAGTGGTTAGAAGTACCGATTATGGAGTCAGATGGATGGAGGTCCAAAGTCTGGTCCTCTCACTCACTAGTTAAATGACCAGGGAAGTTGCATAACCTCTCTAATCATAAATTTCCTCTTGGGAATAATAATGATGAACTCAGGAAAATACCTACTTTACAAGGTAGTATAGAAGGAAATGAAATTCACATGTAAATCTCTGAGCACATACATGATCGGTAAAGAAGCAGTTATAACTTAATGATGATGATGATAACTCATATGGCAGGTTTGCTGCCTGAATGATATTCAGAACTTAGAGTCCCAGAGATTTGAGTCAATGTAAAAAAATATATGGAGTGCCTTTCTGGGCTGGAGTAAACAAATGGTTTCTACAGTTATTTGGATATTCCATCCTTCCCTCAAAACTCCCAGCCCAGCCAGGAGTCCTGAACCATCAAAGTAACTTCTAGGTGCTGTGAGGAGTGAAGGGCCCAGCTCAGCTCCAAACCTACTCCATAGGTAATCCTGAGACTTTGGGTCAAGGTTTGGAAAATCCCTAAACCCCATTCATAAATGCAGTGTCAACCAAATGGTTTATTTCCAGAAACCCTTCAATATATTTGCCCTCAGGGAACTGAAAGTCCCCTGGCAAGGTTCGTGAAACCACATCTAGAATAGGCACCCAGAGAACACCTGTGAACTCCACACTTCAGTTTTCCCCTTCTGTACCCTCCTGATACAACTAGACTGCTGTCTCTATGACTTTTACATTTCTGCCCTTGTTAAAATTCCCAGCTGCTTGCTTTTCAAATGTGTTGATGTTTTTTTACTTTAAAATAAAAGATCAGTATGAGGGATGCCTGGGTGGCTCAGTCGGTTAAGCGTCTGCCTTTGGCTCAGGTCATGATCCCAAGGTCTTGGGATGGAGACCTAAATCAGGCTCCCTGCTCAGCAGGAGCCTGCTTCTCCCTCTCTCTCTGCCCCTCCCCCTGTTGTGCTCTCCCTCTCTCTGTCATACGAATAAATAAAATCTTTAAAATAAATAAATAAATAAAAGATCAGTATGAAAGAAGGTTTAATGAAGCAAAGAAAACAAAAAAATCTCAGATGAGTAAAAATCAGATCTGAAGCTCTAAAAGGAAAAATATATTAGTACCAGAGATTATTTGTACTTAATCCATATAGGTGATATGGTCATCAAATTACTGCTGAACCAACATTAAATCTTAATTTATTTAAAATATTTCTATATTATTATTGAAGCAGTTCCCCCCCTCCCCCCCCACACACACACCAGGGAAACAGAATTTACTAACATAGTAAAGTATTATTTTTTAAATCTGAGTAAAGAGACTAGTTGCTTAAAAATCTCAGTTGGTTAAGAGTCAAAGGATGCTTTAGACCTGCAAAACAATGCAATATAAACATTTCAGAATAGACATTACTTTGTTTTGCACAAAAGTAAAATTCTATGTTATAATCTTACAATTATGATTTCTATAAATTAACTGTGTTAACTTTATGCAGTTCAGTGTACAGAAGAATTAGGTCCAACATTTAGTACTCAGGATATCAGACTTATGCTAACTGCAAGCTTATAAACACATGTAACATGTTGCTATCAGTCAGGAAAAATGCCCCCCCCCCCTTTTTTTTTAAAGGAAGATACCATAATATCAACACATTTATAGAAATGGTACTAATTACTTCTCACTAATCATAATGCGCATACATTATGTACATTTGTGCTATGCTAACATCCTTACCTGTAGTACCTGAGAAAGTATCTTTGAAAGCATCACAGAGCTCCCCTGCTTTAGAACGCTTTTACTTACCATCCTTTAATTTTTTTGGAAAGGTGATGCTTCTTGTATAAGAAAACTTTTATGGGAACCCAAATCAGTAGAGTTACCAAAGCCACATAGGCGATTGAAGAGGAAACAATCAGCCAATAATGCGTTTTCTCGGGGCTGCCCTCTCTGCTTTGATAGGCAGTGGCAAACTGTTCCACAATCACGAGCGTGGGAATGGAGAAAGCAGCAAACTCAAGAAGTTCAAAAGCCAGGAGCTTGATTAGTCTTCCAGAAGCCATCCTGAGGAAGGGCAAGCTGCTGAGGATCAAACACTCCCCCTCTGGTTGTGAGCAGCATATGGACACCAATACTGAGCTGGGATCAAGTTCCTTGTACTGAAATCACTAACCAGTGACTTTTTATTCTTTTATTGACCCTCACTGGGTTCAATGATCTTCCAACTGAACAAGCGAGGCCTCTTAAAGAAACAGAACAGTTGTGGAAATGATCACTTAATGTGTTTGCACGCCCATTATTCAAAGTCAAATGAATTCCTGAATATGCTTTGCAGCACTGGTAATAAGCAGGGCTTTCAGTGTAAGCTCGGATTGCCAATTGGAGCACTCAAAAAAATTTATGCAATATTTAACATTTGTTCAGTAGAACCACTGGAATTATATAATTTTAGAGTTAAAGGAGGAGGAGAGCTATAATCCAATCCCCGATTTCTGTATCTAAGCAGATCCAGGCAAAAAGAGATACCCAAAACCTGGGTCTTCATCGTGGAAGACTACCCCTTGTTTTTATTCAAAGTGCTTGAAAAAGGAGTTTGGATTCACACTGCCAACCTCCTAACCAGATTGCTTCCTGGTACTCGAACTATTTTTCTTGCATGTTGTTATGTAACCCAGATTAACATTTTTATTTTGCTGGTGAGGAAACCAACATATGTTGGAAACTTGTTATCAGGATTGACATATTAAGAGCTGTCTATATCTAGTCCAAAAGCATATCAAATATTTAAAAGACAACAACTGTCTCCATGATTATCCTCCCTTCAAACACTACTTGTGAGCACCTGCAATGAGCACTTTGCCTTTGCTAGGTGCTGGGGTGTGAAGGTGAATGGACAAAAGATTTCTGCCCTAAAAATGCTCAAAGTCCAATAGAGAAAACAAACCTGTGAACAACAAAAATCGCTGAGGTCGGAAGTACAACTTAAGTGCTATGGTAACACAGAGGAGAACTTCCTCTTTCGGCTGTGGGAAGGGAGGGAGAGATAGGGATGAGGAAGACAGATGGCAGGTTTTGGGGTGTCGGTAACATTCCAGACACAAAAAAAGAAGCCAGGAGGCTGGTGTGGTTATGAGAATCTGGTGTCACATGGCAGGAAGTAGAGACAGGTGATGTTAGAATTGGCTGGGGTCAGAATGTAAATGTTCCTTGAGGGATTTGGGTGTGGGTTGGGTTGGGGTGGGGTGGGGTGTGTGTGTGTGTGTGTGTGTGTGTGTGTGTGTGTGTGTGTGTGTGTGTGTGTGTGTGTGGCAGTCAGTGAAAAGGCAATGTTTTCTGGACAGAAGAGCCACTTAACTTGATCACGTGGAAAGCGTAGTGAGTGCTGCTGGTGTGGAGGAAGGACGGGAGCAGTGTTAACCTGGAGGTGGGGAAGCCAGGGGGGAAGCCACCGAGCAAACTGGGCAGGAGGGAGAGACTTTGCTGCAACCAATGAAGCAAGAACCACGAGGGAAGCACTGATCCTGATCCCTTCCACATGCTTGCTTCTTTAGATGGCTTCCCCTGTGCCTGCTGGCAGCCTGACACATGCCAGTATTTCTCTGGGTTCCTCTCTGCACAGGCAGAAGGGGCCCTGCGCTGCCTGGCTCCCCGGTGCACCTAGGATTCTGGTAGCGGCTCTGAGGATTACGGCCTCCTGCCCTCCCACTGCAACACAATTAGTCAGCCGGTTCCTCAAGCTATTTCATTTGAACTTGAATTTCCAATCTGCTGATGTTTAGCAGATGTCCTCTCAAATGAACGAAGAGACCTGGAAGACTGGTACCAAGAACAGGAAAGGACAAGGTAGAAAAGCCATCCAACCCGTAGTTCTGTCACCAACTGTTTCTAATATCACATAATTGTCATTGATTCTCTGTATCATCCCTGACAAAACTTTCAATTTAAGAGAGACTGGATATAAATTAGACTCTAACCTCCTAGCCCTCTTGAGTCATCAATGCTATGTTGTGTTATAATTTCTTCTACAAATTCTGTGTATTAACAGGAATTGTGACCTGGGCATTTGAAGACAGTTGTTGAATAAAATTGCCTGGCTCCAAGCAAAAGGACTCTGGCCCAGGTCTTTAATTCCATTTTAAATACTCAATTTTTATTTCCATGTATGGGAATTTAAAAATGGCACTCACTTTATATTTCTCACATATAATTTTCCTCCAGTTCCTAATCTCTCTTCACCTTTACCTTCAAAGACAGCATTCATGTGATGTGACCTGCAGTTCTCTATGGCATGGAAAGCTCTGATAACTAGCTGTGCTTTCTCTGAACAGGAGGGAGGTTGTGATGCTTGCCCACTACCCACAACAAGCCCACCTCCACGTAAAGGAAAGAGCACCTGTGTTCACATTGTTTATAAACACTTCCTGTGAGCAGATCATGGTAGAGATACAGTCCTTCCTGACTGATATTCTGGTTAGGGGTACGTCACCAATGCACAGGTAAGACCTGAGAACATTGATGGAGTGAGCTGGGCATGTCAGGGCTGTGAAGGGCTCTCCCAGCACCATCCTCCACGCCCCTCTCCAGCCACATCTGGTTGAATAGGCCCTGGGCCGCAGAATGTCCCTCCGTAAACTGGGCCACGTGATCCAGCTTAGAAATTTGAACCAAGAAACGTGGGAGAATTTGGTAAGTGGAATTAAAGGAGGCCATGATTTGAAGTCAGGATTAAAACGACCCAAACTGTATGTGCTAGAACTCCCCCTGGCATGTTGTGACACTAGGTACTTATTTGCTGAATGAACCAAGAAACAAATGGAAGCCAAGTGGTGAGGGAAAGGAAGAATGAGTAAAGAAGCCAACACAGAGAGTGAAAAGACTGGAAGAGATCAACAGGGAGAGGCAACCAAAGGGCTTACAAAACGGGCTCTTCGGTCTTGGCAACCAAAAGGGCTTGAGTACAAGAAAGGAATATGTTTATGAGCAGAGGCGAAATATTATACAAAAACAAGATGTAAGGCTACTGGATGATTCAGAAGAAGGGACTGAAAAAAAAAAAAAATCAGAGTAGAGTTGATCAGAGAGGGCTTCTCGCAGGAGGTAAGTTTTGGCCAAACTGATTTTTCGATTGACTCAAAGCAATATCCATATATTACTACAGCAACCTTCTCTGTGTCATATAATGACATTTTCTTTGAAAATTAGTTCTAAGACTGTTCATGATATAGTGAGTCAGGAGAGGGGTAGGAGAGAGAAGCAGGCTGTAGATGCTATGTATACCAGTGTGAATGGCGCAATCTCATTTTTGTTTTAAAATATCATAGCTGTGGATTTAAGCATAAATAAAAAATCCAGAAACATACTCATCAAACTAACAGTGCTGCCCCTGGGGAATGGGTGAGGTGGGGTGAAGGGGTTTTCACTTTTGATTTATTAATATTTGCATAACTGTAATATTTCACCAGCATAAAAATTAGAAAATAATTTTAGCTTAGTAACAATCAATTAAACAAGGCAATTCTGGCTTAATAAAAATTTAATGTTCTATTTTTTAAATCTTTCCTCCACCAGTTTGCTTTCCCTAACTTCTCGGCAAAAGCAACATAAATAAATTCCACTTCCGGGCGCCTGGGTGGCTCAGTTGGTTGGGCGACTGCCTTCCGCTCAGGTCATGATCCTGGAGTCCCTGGATCGAGTCCCGCATCGGGCTCCCTGCTCGGCAGGGAGTCTGCTTCTCCCTCTGACCCTCCCGACCCTCCCCTCTCTCATGTGCTCTCTCTCATTCTCTCTCTCTCAAATAAAATCTTTAAAAAATAAAAAAATAAAAAAAATAAATTCCACTTCCATTTATCCCTTAGACAGCAGCACTAAAGAGCAATGAAGTAGCCAAGAGGCAAGCAGATGGGGAGAGCCTTGAATAACGGTTTGCGGGCTGGAGAGTGTGGGCAGAATTTTATTGCCTTCTCCTGATCTCACATAAGAGCAGGAAGAACATAGCCTTCCTCCCGCAGGCCCCACTCTAAGAGTTTCCTCCCCACTGAAAACTTTCCTTACTCTCCTCCTCCAAACGGAAGCAAGCCTTTCCTCCTTTGAGTCACAACACCTACTGAATCCTTCTGGATTCACCCACATCTGTACTGTAGCACTTGTTTCCCTATGTGGTTTGCACACTGGGTCCCCTACAAACCGGAAGCTCCCTGAAGGCAGAGAACACTTGCTTTCATCTTTGTGTCATCATACCTCAGCACGGCACTTCTAGCACGTCATAAGCCCTTGAAAGATCTTGTGGAAGGAATGGATGGAGATGAAGGGTAAGAGAAGTGGTGGGCAGGAAGGGGAATGTGCCAAGCTTTGATAATGGCTAATTCATCTTTTATTACAAGGGAATCCTGGCTCTCACACTGACCTTTCAGAAGGAGAAATCATGTATTACCTGTCCCAATACAATCTGTCCTCTCAGCCTACGAGATTTAATTTCCTTGTGTGGTCCAATTACAGCCCCCAGGTTTCCTTCCTGCACAGCCATGGCTCTGTAAGGTCTCTACAGAAGAGAGAAAACAAAGACTCTGGGGATTGCAGTTTCTTCATCTCAAGATGCATGTTAGGAAAAGACCATGCCTCTTTGCAAGCATTCACAAAGACTTAGGTCTCAGTGTTACAGTATCTTTCCCAACCTTCTCTAATCCGTATGCCCTCAAAAAAGCATATTCCATAATGGATTTGAACCATTAACAAAGGAGACTGGGGAGGACCGGCTGGTATTTGTCTGAACCAAGGCATAACCTTTAATTATTTAAGAGTCCTCAGCTCTTCTAAAGTATCTATTTGTCTAAAATTTCTGTAACAGATTGGGAGGCAGGGTAGATTCCTTCATCAGGGATAGAAAACAAGCTAGCAACATTAAGCTACTGGGAGGAAATAATGCTAGACCCCTAACTTAGAGACAAAGACAAAAGGAGATTAGAGAGGGTTTGAAATCACCTACCCTTCAGCTGAGACCAGTTTATGCCAATCCTGATTCTTTCCCTTCTAAGTCCCCTGATGAGTCCACCATGCAAGTAACTGGAAGGACACGGAGGGGGACATTTTCACATCCCCAAATTCTTTACTTGGATTAATCCAAGACTGATTCGAAGAACTCTGCCCCTTACTCTGCTTTTTAATGCTGGGTTTAACAACTTCCTGGTAGGAAACAGATCGGGTTTTCTGGAGCTGGGTCTGTGGTGGAAAGACTGAGTCTTGTGGTTAGAACTCACTTCCACGTAGGAATGTTGATGCAGTGGTTTTTATTTTAGTAAGCAGAAGATATCATGCTGTCCAGGGTAACACCTGTTCCCCACACTTCCAACTGTCATTTCCTTCCTGCAGGCAGGAAGTTAAAAATTCAAAGTCTCTTAAATTGTTAGTAAGATCATTTGTAATCTCAAAGTTTGTTCATTGTTTTCAGGGTAGGGTCTGTGAAACAAAATGTACAGACAGCCAGGAATGTTCTGGCATATCTGTGGTTTGTTTCCTGTAATCGTATGGTGTTGATGTGCAGAACGGCAGGGGCTGGTAGCAGTGAAACTGTTCTGCAGATCAAGCTGGATCTATGGAGAGCCTAGGGAAGAGGCTGGACCTAATCACTGATTCTTTACAATTTCCAAAGAGTAGTTCCAAAATACATTACTGATCCTCACAAGCAGGTGTCACCAAACAAATCACGTGAAGTGAATTCGGTAAGATTATATCACCAACTGATTATGCCCCTTTTATCAACGTTATGCTATCACAGTCCAGACAACATTCAATTTATATTATAGGAAAAAAAGTACAATTTCATCTTCTTGACTATTGAATAAAACAACTTTGTAAGAGCAAGGACAACAGCATATTCACTTATGCAACCCTTTTCATATCTGGTATTTATTTAGTGACGCTATTCTTGAAATTAAAATTTGGAGAATGTCCTTACTTTTTAAAAAATAATCATGCTCCCCTGAAATATTTTTTCTATTAAAATTGTCCAGATCTCAAAAATTTAAAGAAGGGAAGGAAGGAAGAAAGGAAGAAAAATGATTTAAGATTTCCCATTACACAAATTGTGTGTAGTGGCATATAAATGGGAGCTATTAAAAATAGACCATTAAAGAAAAGAGGAAGTCACTTCATTCTGTACAATGATCCTCAGATTTTATTTTTTAAGAGACTACAACAATCTGGGTTAGCCTTTCAATATTCCAAAGTAACAAACTTAAGCAAATAAATAAATCCTATTTAAATGTAGATGCAGCCCTAATTAATTACTGTATATTCATCCCAAAGTTCACAAAAATGGGCGCCTGGGTGGCTCAGATGGTTGGGCGTCTGCCTTCGGCTCAGGTCATGATCCCTGGGTCCTGGGATCGAGTCCTGCATCGGGCTCCCTGCTGGGCGGGGAGCCTGCTTCTCCCTCTGCCTCTGCCTCTCTCTCTCTCTCTGACTTTCATGAAGAAATAAGTAAAATATTTTAATAAAATTAAAAAAATGATTTAATCTATATTTCCTAAATCTTCGCTGCTAAGGACTTGGTAAGTTTGTAGCTCTTCAATTTTTTCTTACTTAAGATAAAATAACTTGACAACAATGTTAGCAGACATGGCCATATCTTTGCCAAGTTCACAGAAATGACAACTATCCAGTTATTTTGGTTAATGTAGATAAAAGATAAAATTTCCAAGTGGGTTGCCTAAATGTAGTGCTCCCTAACTCCACTGGGTGGTGCAAGTTTTATTTTGTTTTAATCACCGATTTTAAGTCAGTATTTTAAAAATGATATTATGGGTTTGAAATCTTCTAACCTAAATTACTCATTTAAAAATTTAGACTATAAAGGCATACAAGTTATGTGTCTTCTTGTACTATGCATATTTGGCCCATTTAGTTCCAAAAACATTTAAGTTCGCTTATCTCTTCTCTGTCCAAAGCAGCCCACTGGCTCCCCATCTCATTTTCAGTAAAAGCCCAAGGCTTTACCAGAATTTTCAAGGCCTTCCACAATCTTTCCCAACCACCTTTCTGTCTAACTTAATTTTCCATTACTCTCCCTCTCACTGTTCTCTTCGATGTTCTCCAAACATGCCAGACATATAGGCTTCACCCATTATGAAGCCTTTGTCCTTGCTATTCTCCCCCCAAAAAACATCCTAAGAGCCAACTACCTCATTTTCTTTAGGTCTTTACATGACACTTTTGCTGCCAGACTGCTTATCCAAAATTTCAACACACCCCCCTCCTCAATTTCCTAATCTTTTCCCTCCTTTATTTTCCCTCTCATTACTTAACAACATGTTTATTTGACTTACTTGTTATATTAATTGCTCTCTCAACTGGAACGTAAGTTTCTTTAGGGCAGAAACTTACCAGTTTTGGTCTCTGTTATATACTCAAACCTAGACTAGTGCTTGGTCCATAATAAGATCTCAATAAATATTTGTTGACTGAGTGACAAAATGAATTCACAAATGAACTGAGTGGACCCTCCATGCTAGCTATTGTGCTTATGCCAGGGTATAAAGATGACCAAGACACACTCTCTGCCCTTATAAGCTTACAGTCTAATTGAACAGACATTTCCGCAAGTAATTTCAATAGAAGCACAATGAGAGATGTACACCCAAGTTGTTATGGAAGCAAAGAGGACAGCAACATGGAGGTTTGGGTAAAGCTTCCTGACAAAAAAAAAAAGAAAGAAAATAGGCACATTTTCTGTGCTCAGGAAACTAGTCTAGCTACAGAAATACGATACTCAAATACAAAGGTCAAAAGGGAAGTTTTAAAATATCTTGAGACTAATGAAGACAAAAACACAACGTACCAAAGCTTAAGGGATATAATAAAAAAGGTACTAAGAGTTTACAGGGATAAGATCTCAAACATACAACCTAAATTTATACCTCAAGTAACCAGAAAAAGAAGAACTAAACTCAAAGTTAGTAGAAGGATGGAAATAATAAAGGTCAGAGAGGAAATAGATAAAATAAAGAATGGAAAAATACAAAAATAAATAAAACTAAGAGTTGGATTTTAAAAAGACAAAATCAACAAACCCTTAGCTAGACCAAGTATGAAAAAAAGAAAGACTCAAATAAATAAAATCAGAAATTAAAATATGAGACATTACCATTTATGCCACAGAAGTAAAAATATCATAAGAAACTATTATGAACAATTATATGATGAAGAGTTGGACAACCCAGAAGAAATGAATAAATTTTTAGAAACATAAAACCTAAGAATAAATCAAGATGAAACAGAAAGGGCGCCTGGGTGGCTCAGTTGGTTAAGTGTCCAACTCTTGATTTTGGCTCAGGGCATGATCTCAGGATCATGAAATTGAGCCCTGCATTGGGCTCTGTGCTGGGCATGGAGCCTGCCTAAGAATCTTTCTCTCCCTCTCCCTCTGCCCCTTTCCTTGTTCACATGGGTGAGTGCATTCTCTCTCTCAAAAAAAAAAAAAAAAAAAAGGATGAAACAGACCAATAACAAATACTGAGATTGATCAATAATCAGGAACCTCCCAGCAAAAAAAAAAAAAAAAAAGAAAAGAAAAAAGCCCAGGAGCTGAGTGCTTCATAGGTGAATTCTATCAAACATTTAAAAATAATTAATGGTAATCCTTTTTAAACTCTTCCAAAAAATAGAGGGAACACTTCCAAATTCATTTCATAGGCCAGCAATCACCCTCATATCAACACCAGATG